AAAAAAATATTAATATATAAATATATAAATTATATTATTTTTTGTGTTTTTAAAAGAAAAAGACCAAAACAGCTTGATTTAACAGAGATTTTTTTAACAAGAGTTAGGTCAATGGATCGCATCATAGTGAAAGTGATACTTTGAAGACCCTAATCACATATTTTTGGGTTAAAGGACCTTTTTCGTAAAAGGAATGAAACTGTAGGGACAAAACTTGTAACTATGGGTCATTTACTTGTACGTTTATCCATTAAGTTTTTCCTAGGGTTCCGTACCCTTTTTCAACAAAAAATTTATTGGTAAGAGGTCATATTCTCACCTTACTCGTTAAGATTATAATCCATCAAAACGGCATTGTATACAATAATTTTTTCGGTAAATACTTACATGGTAAAGGGTCGTCAACCTAACTTACCTAGTAAGACTCTCGGTTCTTGACATTGTTCTTACCAGGTAAGATTTTCAGTTCTTATTGTATTCTTTCGTTCTTATTGTATTCTTTCAGTACAATAAATGACCCAATAAATGCTTGACGTGTAATCGTTTGATAAACAACCCTGAGGATTCAAAAAATAAACAGATATAAATCAAATAAATATAAAAATAATTTTAAGTACCAGGAGATCTCAAGTTCAAATCCAAGTAAGAATAAAAATCCTCTTATGGCCATAGAGATTCAAATGCGGTAACTCCCCGCTATCTGCAAAACATATGGTCGTCATGAGTTTAATTGAATCACATAACAAGTTGGATATACAGGTTAATAAAAAAAAATTAAGTCAAATCAGGGAGATTCTATCTAATGACTCAAATATTTTGTGTTGTTGAAGAATATGAACCACAAAACCAAGATATGTTTGGGGCCAACCAATTTACAATCCATAAAATTTGTTTTTTAATTATTTTATTTTTTATTTAAAATTAGTTAAATAGATAGGATTAACTTTAGATATCGTAAGGATTATTATCATAAGGTATTATTTTATATGATTTTTTTTATTTAAATGTAGAATTTAACATATTGATTAACATATATTTGTTACACAATGTGTTTGTTTCATATATATTCAGTTTACACTGTGAAACTTTCTAGCTGTATTTTTTGTTTCATAAACACATAAAAATGTTCACATTGTGAAACAAACATATTGTGAAACAAATATGTGTAAATCAATATGAGTTGTAAATAAAAAAAATCATATGAAATAACACATGATGCACTAGTTTTTAAGATAATCACAAATTTATATGTGGGTTTCTGAAATAATGGCCCATTTTTTAGGTTTACGTGCTTGTAATATGTTAACGATCATTACAAAAGAAAAGTGATCTTAAATATCGTACGTATGTTTTTCTCCTCGTTTTCTTTTATTAAAAACAATTTAAATCATTAGAAAATATTATTACATTGTTTATCAAATCAAATTTGATCTTAGGATCATCAAAAGCCAACGTTTTCAAAGACGGTGATGCATCAATTAGGGTTTAATGACGACTACTGATACAATGGATTTGAGTTTTGGTAGATATTTGATATTAGGTATTCGAAGATTTGGCACCACCCATCGTGTTTGGTTGATTGCTCCATCTTATCTTTATAGTTATCTTGATCCGTATGGGATTACGTCTATTTTGGATTTTATGCATTTTTACGGGTCAAAAGTCATAACTTTGTAGAAACTAAAACTCTTTTGTCGTTTTACCCTCTTTTTCATGCATGTATAAACGCACGCACATACATACATACATACATACATACATACATACATACATACATACATACATACATACATACATACATACATACATACATACATACATACATACANATACATACATACATACATACATACATACATACATACATACATACATACATACATACATACATACATACATACATACATACATACACACACACACATACTTTTGGATTGTAAAATGAAGACTAATATTCACGAATATGACGACTTGTTAGACAAGTGATTTTGAACAACCATTTTCGGAAAAATGGGCCCAGACTTGTTCAATAAGTTTAGTTTGCAGATATGCATGCCTACCTGGGTTGTTTATATCATTATAATTGATTAAATACTACCAGTGTATGCGCATAATCAGGGGCGGATGTAGTTAGGACTGGTTGGGGTCCTGGGCCCCCAATAAAAACTATTTTACAAAGCCCAAAAAAGAATTTACTTATAACTTTTAATTGAGTACAATTGGGCCCCCAACATCATGATGTAAGAGGCCCCCTTCACTCTATTCACTTCACCAGTTCACCGTTCACGGCTTCACGCCTAACTCCTAAGTTCCTAAATCGGTATCCTAACCTTGACGGACAACAAACGAGAGGGACAGAGGAACGGACGACAGACGAGAGGGACAGAGGAACGAACGACAGACACAGACGAGACTCGCGAGAGTAGAGATAGACGAAGACGATAGACGAGGAACGAGGAACGACAGTTCACGGCTTCATCGCTGCCTGTTTCTTCGCCTCGGTTCTTCCTTTCGACATTTCACTGGAGTGGAGTCACTGGACTGATTCCACTCAAGCAAAGGCTCAAAGCAACTCTAATAATTTGGGTAAAGATTCTAATTTCCAAATTACTTCTTTGATTTTGTTGTTTGCTTCCTAATTGCTTATTGGTGATTTGGTGGTAAATGCTTTAGGTTAGGTACTTAGGTTAATTTTGTAGGCAATTTTGTAGGCAAATCAAATGAAAATGTCAAATGTTAGGTTAATTTTGTAGGCAAATGGAAATGTTATTAAACCATTTATTTTTATCTTGTTATTGTTATTGGTAGAAAAAAAATGGAAAGATATTTTAAAATGAAAGCATCAACATCTGAATCGAGCTCTGCTCCTTCGATGTCTTACAAAATTGATTTGAACGATCTTCCTTGGGATCCAGCCGATAGGAAAAAGATTTCGGAATATCATCCTAGCTTACTTCAACCGCATCAGTTATCTTTATTCAGTTAACCGAACAGTTTAAGCTGAAAATGAAAAGCCGAAACCTTTTTTGGTTCGGACGAATTGTTCGGTTTCGAAATTTTTTCGACCCTCCTAAGTGTGCCCCCAACCATAATAGTTTCTAGATCCGCCACTGCGCATAATACATCTTAATTTCGTCTCTATCGATTTTATTTCATAAAATTTGTGTTGGTTTGAGAGATCAAGAAAGTATATCATTAGCTACGCGTTTTATGTAGTATTTTACTATATTAATATGACTCAACGTTTATCTTGTATTTGAACATGTTTGTCAATTGGATATGAGTTAGGGGTCGTTTACCAAACTCTTACTTGGGTAAGCGCTTACCAAGTAACATTACCTCACCTGATTAATATGATAAGAACCAAGAATCTTACCCGGTAAGAGGGAGACAATGATCAAGAGTCTTATCCGGTAAATGAGGATGACGACTCTTACCACGGTAAGTGCTTACCGGGCAAATTGTTGCATACGATGTCGTTTTTGTGGACTAAAATCTTACTCGATAAGTAAATAATAATGTTAAATTTTACTAGTAAGCATTTACCAGGTAAATGTTTGGTAAACGGCCCGTTAGATTTATAAAGTCAAAACATATAAATACATTGTATGTATATGATAATAAGTTGTAAATGTAGCATAATATAATAAAATATGATATGAATATACTCATGATTGAAATTTCAAAAACCGAGTTGACAAAAATATTGATACAGTTATCAAATTAATGAGAATAAAATATTTGTTTTCCTGATATAATTTTTTTATTAAAAATTATTTAGATTTCAAATAATTTAGATTTCTTAAAACTTGAAATCAATCTGTGAGTTTTCAAAACTTGATCCGTTTACATGAAAAGGGTAATATAAGGGGGTGCTTGGGATTGCCTATTTGAAACAACTTATGTTTTTATAACAAAAGTCTTTATCAATTTATTATAAGTTAGAATGATTTAACTTCTTCAAAAACTTCTTATTACCTATTTGGCATAAGGTAAAATGTTTTTTAGGCTCGTTAGTTCGTGGGTAAACTCGATCTGTTTATGAAATAATAGTGGACAACTTTTATTGAGTTTGTTATATCAGATTTATCAGACAAAATATACAGACTCGAACCAACCCTGTGGCTGGCCCAGATCCAACAACGATAACCTCTTTCAAAAAATGTAAAGATAATATGAACAAGGACGTAATATAAAACAGTTGAAATGTGGCACGACGACTACTCGTGCGTTGAACCAAGTAGGATACAGGAATGGACCAAGGCGATCAACTCGAATCCGCAAGCCCATATGTGTTCATGGACCGGACTTTGTCAAATAGGGCCGAACGTATTTATGTTTTATTTGTATATGCCTATTAAGTCTTTTATTCTTATCGTAAGTCTTTATTTGTGAGTAACTAGAAGGTACTTGCACAATGCAGTTTAGTTTTTATTATTTGTCTCTATCGATATAATACAATTTTATATGGTTTTGAGAAAACGATAATGTTTTTATTTTTTAATGAAATATTAATATCAAATAACTATTAAATAGTTCTCGTTTTTTTTTTTTTTGTGTGTAACTTCTTTAACTCAATTTTTTATTATAATTTAATTTAAAATTAATAACAAAGTAATTTATTTTTGGTTTAATAATATAATTTTTCATATTAATAATAATTAAAGATTCTGTTAGAACTCAATGATTATCTTAATTATATTTTAGATTTTTTATGTTTAAAATGAATGTTTATTCTATATTTAATTATGTTTATCTGTAATTAGTTACACGAATTTAAAAATGGAGCTTTAATAAATTATACTTACGTAAAATTATTTGTAATCTTGAATTTTAAGTAATATATATCAATAAACAATACTTCATGCATAAAAATGATTTTCATCAAGTAATCGATAAATAAGAATTGCCCGTATAAAAATATTTAATTTAATTTTAATTATTTTAATAAATTAGATTAACTAATTAAAAAGTAATAAATGTTTGAAATGAAAATAAGATTTAAGCATTGAAGTAAAGCAATGGACATTTATGAATTATACATCCATACACCGTATATCATTCAGAAGCGAACATTATACAACGAAACAATACGAGTTTAATTTGCAACCGTATATAACAACACGAGCTATACCTTATACGTTGCCACTACAAGTCCGAGTGGGTCCCATCCGTATCGTGTTTTTTTTTTCCGTTTATAACCGTGGTGCAGGACGAGCACGGGGTGCATCCCACTCCGTCACAATGTGGTCACGAGTGATCTCTCTCAGCGAGGTACAACCGCTTAGTGCCATCGTTAGCTCGAATTCCTCACGTAACATCTGAAGTACTTTTCTCACTCCGGCTTCTCCTTCTGCCGCCAATGAGAACACCACGGGCCGCCCAATCTGAAATTTACACCAAATTGATACATATGAGATCTTTTCTGTATAATATCGCTCGTTTTTGCAAACTGTGGTGTTTTCAATATCCGGGTCATGTTTGGAAGTCATAAGCTAGCTTATTTTTTTTTAGCTTATTGAAAAATACCCGTTTGGTAAGTCATAAACTAGCTTTTCAGCTAACAACTAGTTTATCAGCTAATTTGCCACATGTATTCTTGATATGTTTACTTACAAATATGCCAGAAGCTCCAAGAGCCAGTGCCTTGAAAACATCGGTTCCACGACGGACACCACCGTCCAGGAATACGGGCACACGGCCTTGTGCAGCTTTCACGACCTCTTCCAAAGCCATGATTGTGGCAGGGACGTAATCCAGTTGACGGGCTCCGTGGTTGGAAACGATAATACCAGCGGCTCCGGCTTGAATAGCCAGCCTTGCTGTATAGTTAATCATCAAGCGGAGAAATATTATAAGCATCGTGTTGAACAAAAACCCGAATTAAGGAGAGAAAAAACAAGAGGTTTCGATCATTCTTACTGTCCTCAGCAGTGATCACGCCCTTCACTAGGATCGGCATCGTGGTTATTGTTTGGAGCCACTTCACATCCTGCAAGGAGAGAAAAACTAAGGGATGTTTGGTTGCTTTACATTAAGTCCTATATGATAAAGTTGTATGTGTGGATTAGTCTGTCCGTCGAGATTGAGAAGGTTTTTGTTTGGGAGGGTTTTTTTCATAGATGGAAGGAACGTGTTTTTTTATTGAGAGTGACAGGTTTGGAAAAAAACTTGACTTTCTGCATAAAGCTCCCCCCTAAAAGCTTACCGAATAATTGCTATTTATATCATTCAGCCACTACCAAACAATCATGTATAGCTGACCAAATAAGCTGTGAATCCTATTAAGCTCATTAAGTTGTGAATCCTATTAAGTTTTTTAAGTTGCTAACAAATAGACCCTTAAGTGCCTGTATAAAAAGATGTGTTCATAGTACAATTCTAAAAAGTGTCATAAAAATGCCAATAGAACTCTATTTCAAAAATGTCCTAAAAAACTTGTTAGCATGCTCAAAAACGACTAATCAACTTATTGAACACATTTACATATGGGGTTGGATTCCGGTGAGAATGAAAGTTATGGTGAGAAAGGTAATAAAGAAATTACACCCTTGGATCAATCCTAATTGAAGATCAAAACTAATGAGATGCACCCAGATGCATGAGATCAATTCCCGTGAGAAGTGTAATTCAAGGGGCGGGATGAGATTAAAAGTGATCAACTGTTCAGTTCCCTTCTTACGCTTCTCATATTAACTCCTATTCTCACACGATCCTTCATCTTTACATATGACAAACAGTTGTTTGATCCTATAAACTTAAGTTCTATAAAGCAATCTATCAGAAATTTAAACATATTTGGCATCTTATAAAGCCAATTTTGTTGTAGTACTGCCTCTATCCCAAAGGGTAGAGAAGTTGTTTCCATGAATTCCCCCAACTTGCAAAACAAAATAAAATACAAGGAGACAGGTGGCAAACGTGGCATAGGAGTGTGTGGAAACACGCAACAAGTACAATAAACAAAAAAAAAAGGAAGCATCGACACACAAGGAACGAAAGATAACACGAATCAAGCAACTGCAAAGGTTACTTGTTTGTGAATGGAAGGTTCGCGATCCAAGCAATGAAAACCAATGAAACACGATTCATGATTCATAACGAAACCACAAAAGCCACTTATTTGTGAACAGAAGGTCACGTATTCGAATCAAAGAACAACCTATTTATGAAAATGCAAGAAAGATACTGTTAACCTCACAACTCCGAGGAGCCATGGTCCACGAGCTCATCGGAATAAGTATCTAGGTCCAATGAAACATACCTTCCAGCTCAGAGTACGGTCGATCTGACCAGCAACATAAGAAGCCAACCCAGAGTCATTAGCCTGCATTGCATAGTTATTATGTATTAGAAACCTCAAGACTCTAAAAAGAAAACCCTTTACGGATTCTGTTGCACATTTCCTTATACCAAGTACGACACACGATAAAATCCAAACGAAACGAACCCAGTGAATCATAGGGGGTATCGGGAGAGTGGGATGTACACAGACTTTATCTCTACCCCGAGGAGTATAGATGCTAAGTAGGGGTGTAAACGGCACGAGACAACTCGCGAGCTCCTCGAAATCGACTCGGTCAAAGCTCGCGAGCTACTCGAAATCGACTCGGTCAAAGCTCGATCAACATCTTGACTCGAATAGGCTCAGCTAGAACTCAAGCTCGAGTAGACAAACTAACGAGTCGAGTCGAGCTACCCAATACTCGACTCGAAAAGCTCGTGAGATACTCAATTTTTTTATATATAATTAGCTTTATAACATAATTTGTAAAATTTTATTAATAACCTTACAAATAAAAAAATGTCGTATACTTTTCAGATATTTGAACAAACTATACAGTTTAAACTATAAAACTTAAATCAACTATTTTTATTGAAAAAACAATAAAAATGTTGGTAAAGTTATCCCACATTGGATGAGAGATAATAATGGAAGGGTGAAGAGGTGTCGTAAAAAAAGAGGGAGGTGAACCACAAGGGTGGTGCCTGATTGGTTTGAGCTTGGCTCCAAAGGTCAAAAGTACCAGGAGGTCTCAGGTTCAAATCCAAGGAGGAATAAAAATCCCCTTGTGGCCACGGAGGTTCAAATGTGGAGACTACGGGTTATCTCCAAAGCAGGTGGTCGTCCTGGGATTAGTCGGCTCGCATAGCGGGTTGGATATCCAGGTTAAACAAAAAAAAAAAGAGGGAGGTGATTGAAGTTGTAATTGTCATTTTCTTTTGATGAAATTTGAGGTACACCATTGAGTTTTATAAAGTTTAAAAAATCACCTTTAAGTTTAACAATTTATAAGAGAATACCCTAAAATTTCAAAAATTTCAACGGATGAGCTTGGTTCGAGTTTGAGTTTGGTTCGAGCTCGAGTTCAAAAAATTGCAATCAAGTTTGAGTTGAGTTTAGGTTTTTACTACTAACGAGCTTGGGAAATGGCTATCGAGTCGAGTATAACAATACTCGAGCTCGTATCACATCATTTACACCCCTAATGCTAAGTGCAGGGGCAGATTCAGTAATAGTCTACGGGGTGCCCGTGCCTCCAATCTATCATCCCGATCCACAATGGGAAAAAAATATAGGGTCTTAAAAGGTGCACCCTTTTAATTTGATCCACGCTCCCCTAAGTTAACAAAAAGTGGTTGCGACCTACTGATAGTGTCATTGCATGGGGTTTTCTTTTTGGTAACAACAGCAGAAAAAAAACTACTTATATGTCATTTTTTAATTAAACCATACTTTTTATAATTAATTTTATGCTCAGAAATTTTCTTGATCCGCCTCTAGCTAAGTGAGACATATGATCGTACTTTCATTTTTTCTCTCGTATCATATAAACGTGTCCACAAGATAGCAAAAAGAAATCGACTTGAAAGTTATAGTTTCGACTTACTTCATCCATCTTGCCAAGGTTCAAACCCTCAAAGTTCTTCAATGTCAAAAATGGGGGTAACGTAAATCTGTACAACGAGTAAAATTTTCATAACATGTTATCGAGTAATAAAACGTTTAAATAAAAAACAAACTGAGCTATTCACGTTTGCACCTGTTTTTGATATCAGCTTCTCTACGTCCAAGCCTTGGTGTATCAACCGTAAGAGCTATAGCCTTAAAGCCAGCTTTTTCAGCTCTTCTCACAAGCTGAGCCACAACATTCCTGTCCTTGTACACCTGATATCAGGGGTAAGAACGTCAATTACCAGATTCCGAGACCACGAGAAAGGACAAACGAAACAAAAGAGGGTAAGATAGTGATTTTGCTCACATAAAGCTGGAAGAAACGGATTCCAGGTCCCGTTGAAGCAACCTCCTCAACACTAGATGTTGCCCATGATGACAAAGTCTATGAAGTGAAAGAATTATGAGCATATGATACTCTCTATGAAATCATAAAGCACGAAAGTATTGAAAAAATGAAATTTTGGTATGTAAAGTTGACAAAATACGAACCATAATAGTTCCAGCTGAAGATGCAGCTCTTGCCGTTGCATACTCGCCTTCATTGAGAATGAATAAATGGTATTAAATAAGGAATTATAGATTTCAAACGAAAACCAAACCAAACAAACCCAGTATATCCCATCCGAATGTAGTGTAAGATGTACGAAGACCTTTCCTCTGTCTAAAGAGAAAGGAAGGTTGTTCCCTAGAAGACCCCCCCGGCTTGCCAAAAAGTTAAGCACAACTCATTAAGTGCAACCGGATGAACCGCGTGCACTACAACAAAATTGGCTTCCTATCCCACCTGAATGTAGGGTCTTTGGGTGGGTGGGGGGATCGGGGAAGATGTACACAGACCTTTCCCAGTCTAAAGAGATATCCAGAAGACCCCCGGCTGACAAAAAGTTGAGCACAACTCATTAAGCTCCAATTGGATGAACCATGCACTGCAACAAAATTGTTTTTATATCCCACCCGAATGTGGGCTCTTAGGAGGGGTTAAGATGTACGTAGACCTTTCCTCTATCTAAATAGACAACCAAAAGACTCCTTTTGCCAATAAGTTAAGGGCAAGTCATTAAGCTCGACTGGATGAGCCATGCACTACAACAAAATCGGTTTTATAGGACATCATATTATGTCTAAATATCCTGATAGACTGCTTAGTAGGACTTAAGTTTACAAGACCAAACAATTGTGCATCCTATATAAATGTGTTACAATAAGTTGATAGGACACTTTTGTGTGACCCAACAAGTTTTTTAGGACAATTTTGAAATAAAACGTACTATTAGCCTTTTTAATTGACATTATTTGAAAATATAATGTGTAATAAAACAAGTATCCTACAAACTTGATAGGATGCCAAACATACGTCTTAACATCCTTTTGTAAAACCTTTATATAGGATGAACAATTGTTTGGATCTATAAACTTAGTCCTATAAAGCATCTATTAGGACACATGGACATCGTTGACAACGTATAAAAGCTGATTTTGTTTTAGTGAAGTAAACATATATGTTATTTATGGGTGTGACTCGCTGTTTTTGCTTGGTTTTTTACAACATAAAGCATAACGAATAGAGCAATGGCATACAGTAGCATCGAGTCTCTTGATGAAACATATGTTTACCTTCAGGGTGAGCCATTTTCTGAAAAGCAGTTGGGGCGATCATTATTGGCATTGATAGCTTGAATCCCAAAATTGTGGTGGTCAAGTCTATCTTGCTCACATCAATAAGAATGCGTGGCCTAAACCTGTTTCATCGTCAAAACAAACTCTTTAGGACACACGAATAGTTCAGACACCCACAAGGGTATTTTGACCATGTTTGGCAACTATAAGCTACCTTTTGTTTGAGCTTATTGAAAAGTCTCGTTTGGTTAGCTATAAGCTAGCAGATTTTATCCAATTAGTTTTTCAACATGTCCTTTTAGGTCATTTTACAATGTCATCTAGCTTATCAGCCAGCTTTTCAGCTATTAGCTAGTTTCCCAAATTTAGCCTTTGTGTTACTAACATATATGGAGCTTACAGGATTCTTGCGAAAGCATTTCTGTTCTCTTCCAGAGTCCACTCATCCTCAGCACCAGAAGCATAGTAGTCGTAGGCCATCTTCGGCAACTTCTCCTTGGCAATAGCCTGGTACTCGCTGACATTGGTTACCTCCATCTCTCTTATCTACCCACGTGATTTCCCCGAGAAAATCTTGGTTTGGCACAAGAGACACAAGAATCAAATCGCCATATTCGAAACCCACATTGGTTTTTCTAATCTTTAATTGCAAAACATTCTTAAGCCAACATAATTCACTATTACCAAAGGGCCAGTGCCCAACGGTACCTAGGTTACCAATAGAACCCAGCCTCTCAGGAGATCAAGGGTTCAAACCTCACCAAAGGTTAGTAGCGCGCGTGAGTATTTGTTGTATATAAATGTTATATATACTTTAAAAAAGAAAATTCACCAGTCCAAGGCGTGGAACAATGATCCATGGCACGATAAACACATCTTAAGCATCATCAAGAAAGCTAGAAACCCATTTATGTAATTTGGATTTCTTATGGGACGAACAACACTTGTACACAACCTTTAGGCAGACATACATGATATAGATATAGATATAGATATAGATATAGATATAGATATAGATATAGAGGGGAGGTTCATTTAGGAACCTTAAATATTTTAGGAACCCAGGAACCACCCTTTTGTGAATATTCATGATGAATAACATGATAAAACATTCATGATGAATGCCATGACAAATATTCACGATGAATACTCACAAAATAGGTGGTTCCTGGTTTGCTCCTAGATATTGAACATGAGTTAACTTCAAAAAACCGAAACTAGAACACTTTGCACAAAACATACTGAACTTTAGTAGTAATCAAATCAACATATCCGATGAAGAACCAAAAGACGAAAGATCGAAATTCTACAACTTCAACGATAGGACGAAGCTCTGAAAGAGAGAAAAGCTAAAGCAAACCTTTTGGGCACTTGGGTGTTGTTGCTCCTACTGAAAGAAGTGCATGGAAGAGCAAACAACAAGTGTAGATAAGCAATAAAATTGGGAAAAATTATTGGAAATAGAAGACAAAGACATCTAGTAGATAAAGTGATAGAAATTAAGAGAGGGTGTGTACCAAAAAAAATTAAAAATAAATCAAGAAAAAAGGGATGAAGACAAAATGCAAAAGATGAGTAATATGAGGTGAGAAATGGAACCCAAATCCATTTGATGGTGATTCTCCTCCACTTGATTTACTTGTGTTTCAGAGTTTTTCTCCATTATCATCACTTAATTTCTTTGTATTTCAAGATTTATGATACCATATAATATATACTGTCTGAATGGAATAATACTGAATACAATTACCTTATCTTGCTGTCTTTAAGAGTCACCATCTTTCTTTCTCTTTCTAGCAAACTCTGGTGTTCATAGATAGGGATTGGTAACTGGTAAGAGGGTCCATCCACCTTTGTATGTCCTCTAAAATGCAAATAATTGTGGATTTTCTTTTGGAGATGTTCATTACCCACCACCATCTGCCACCATCGCTACCACCGTCCGCCATTATCACCATCACTATGCACTATTACCACCATCGCCACCACCGTCCGCCATTATCACCATTATCGCCACCACCGTCCGCCATTATCGCCGAGAATATAAAGATGAAAATCAAAATAAACCGAGAATTGTTATTGAAATTGAAACGAAAAAAACAACACCAAAAAATGCATTGATCATGAAATTAAACCCTGGTCTATATAAAGAAAAGGGTATATATAATCATTGAACACAAAATCTGGAACTCTAAACCAGGAGATAAATAAACCCCAGAAATCTAAGACAATAATCTTTCAAACCAGTTTAGAAAAATCTCATAAACCTAGAATTTAAGACGAATTGCTTCATAATGTACACTTAATTCCACTCCAAACCTATAAATTGAAGGGGGTGTTTAGGATTGCTTAAGATTATCGACTTATTCAGACGTGGTTTCGGTGTGTTTTTAGGGTGCGTTTGGTGCGCAGACAGGACTGGACAGGACAGGACAGGACAGGACAGGACGGGACAGGACAGGACAGGACAGCTGTTCAGCGTTTGGTAAGACAGGACAGGACATGATAGAACTGGTCAAAATGACCAATTTACCCCCAGTGAGCTGTTTAGTGTTTTTTCACTACGAAATGCATTCTGGTAACACTGGTCCTACTACCACTACAGCCCTAATAATTCATCAACAACAACAACAACAACAACAACAACATTCAGCAATCATAATCAATGTAAACTCTCGAAATAAATCATAATACTTCATTAAAATCCCTAATAAGTACTTCAATTAATCAAGTTGTTGGCGAAATCGAGTACGAAACCACCATCAAAATATAATTCCTTACTTGCATGAAACAAGAAGAAAGGTATTTGAAGAGTTTCTTCAAATTCGTGATGTAGTTGCTGTAAGAAGCAGCAGCGGCCATCGAAGAAGCAGCAGCGGCGGCCATCGGAAGAAGCAGCAGCGCCATCGGGAGAAGCAGTAGTGGCGGCCATCCAGAGAAGCAGCAGCGGCGGCCATCGGAGAAGCAGCAGCGGCGGCCATCGGAGAAGCAGCAACGGCGGTCATCGGAAGTCGCCGTCACCGGTCGCCGGTTGAACGGTGGAAGCGATGGAGGAGAGGAGTAGCGCCATCGAAAGAAGCAATAGCGCCATCGGGAGAAGCAGTAGCGGCGGCCATCGGGAGAAGCAGCAGCGGCCGCCATCGGGAGAAGCAGCAGCGGCGGCCATCGGAGAAGCAGCAGCGGCGGCCATCGGAAGTCGCCGTCACCGGTCGCGGTTGAGCGGTAGAAGCGATGGAGGAGAGGAGAGTGAAGGGGAAGAAGGAAGGTATGCGTATGAGGTTTTTGAGGGTAAAGTGGTAAAAAGTTTYTTGTTCTACTTAGTTCCATGGGTAAAGGGTGGACAACCTTGTCCCACCCTTGTTCTAGTTTGTTCTAGTTAGTCCCACATAAAACCACACCAAACATAGGACAATTGTGTTCTGTCCTGTCCTGTCCCACCCTGTCCAATGTACCAAACGCACCCTTAGGGGGTGTTTTACCGTTTGACTGTTTGGACGTGGAAAATGAAAGATTTTTATATCGTTGTGAAACTGGTAATAAATTTCCTTTAATTTATCAGATTCAGCTTATTAGGTTTGGAAACCAATTTATTTTTTTAACTATCGTACGCCTCCTTCCTTTAACCAAAAACTCTCTCATACGTCTCCTTCCTTAAGCAAACCAGATAATCAAGGGACCTTTGACCATTCCTATGAAATCGAACCAGTAGAAATTGAACCAGCTTTCTTGCTGTCATTTCTTCTCCATCAATAGAAATCGATCAAGACCTTCACCTAGAGAAATCGAAATCAAACCTTCGATTGAAACCTTCACTTACAGAAATCGATCGAAACCTTCACCTATAGAAAAATGAAAATCATACCTTCAATCGAAACCTTTATACAGTCCTACAGAAATCGAAAAGGGTTAGGATTCTTCCTTACGTAAGCGACCTTCGTACACATTTCCTTCTTTCTCATGTCTTTTTTAGTCATTTTACATGTATAACCAAAATTTATTCAAATATCATTACCTTTGTAGGTGGTACCTTTACTATTTACGGATCCAGCTAAAATACAGAAAAAAAATTACAATTTCTATACACATTCGCAAGTAACATGTCGTAAATTTTACTCAGGTTAGCAAGTGGTAGAAATTGTAAATTTTGTTTTTTAACTCGGCTCTCAAGTAAAGTAGGGGAGGCATCACTTGTGGAGGTAGTGATATTTTGATAAATCCAGGAGAGCAATGACCAGGAGACCAATTTATGAGAGATAAATGGTTATTTCGACCAATTTCCTTATTGCAAAAAAAAAAAAAAAAAAAAAAAAAACCAAGATATGACAAAAAAAAGGTTAAATTTTGTGTGTAAAAAAACGGTTAATAGTACATATTACTATTACGTATAAAACAACACCGTTTAAATTCACATGTATTGTTTGATAGGTGGAACGTTTGTTGTAAAATGAACGCATTTGTTATAAAAGAAATACTATAGAACGTATGCTATTTTTAATTTGGTGTAATTTACACCACATTTCTTGTAAAATGACCATATTGTCCTTTTAGTTTTAAAATTTTAAAATTTCAACTGAAATGTCCTATAAAATTCAAGGGTGCTTTTATCAAATTTAAAAACTTGATCAACTATAAACGTAATATTTTATGCTTACGCGATAATATTTGTATCATACAACTTGAACAATGCATATCACTGTTAACTCCTACTGGGCTACTATGAAGTATCTCATTAGCCTCGAATGATAAATAACGTAGCATCACCCTCCTCTACCGTCAACCGCAACCCTCTGCGTCTTCCTGAACCATAATCTTTCCGATGCTTACGATCGCCATCTCCCCCATGTAACCACCGCCCTTCCATCCATCCTAAGACACCGCTTCATTCCTTAAGTGGGTTTGTGAAGTTATTTTTCTTTATATTTATGACTATCGGAGTTTGAATGTTCATGTTCTGATTACAAAAATAACTTCAGATTACAGTGTCGTTTTATCATTTTCTGGACATTTTAACACAAATGATGTCAGATTGAGAATCAGGTATCATTCCTCAACTTTTTTATAGTTGGGTGACTTCTGTAACATATCTGGCATAGTTCAGAACTTTATTGTGCGAGCACCCATATTAATGATCCTAAAAGTCCTGAATTAAACCCATATCCGTGATGCACTATTCTAGCTCTTGCAACCAACTATTTTGAACGTTTTCAAAGCCGATAAGTATATTGTATCTTTCTCAGCACCATTATATGGTTATGCACACTTTTTTATATCAGTGTGATATCAACTCATTGTCTATTTGTTTCCTCATAGACCTTTTTTGAGTAAAAGATGGTTGCATATGGCTCTTGGTAGTTGCAACCGATAACTACAAGTTGAAAAGGAAAGTCGTGTAAGATAAAACCCAAAGGGGCTAAGTTGTTGCATACACTTAATGTTTTTTGCTGAACATCAATTTCTAACCAGTAATTTTTTTTTACCATCTTGTATTTGTTATATTGATAACTAAGTATCGAACCAAGCATATCATTCTTTTTTAGTTTATTGGTTTTATAGTTTCTAATGTAAACTTAGGGGCTATTTGACAGTTGCTGAATGGTTTGGTGCAAAATGATTAAGTGGTCAGAATGATTAAGAGACTCTCGAGATGTAGTGCAAAATGAAATATAATTGTTTGCTAATTGTTTACAATGAAATTATGGCGTTAAATTGTTAAAGGATATCTATGATACAAAATCATTCAGAAGGTTCTAGAACCATTAAGAGACATATTTTTTTTTACGAAACAAAATTCACCTCTTAACGATTCAGATTAATGAAATTATTAAGAGGTAAATAAACAACTCCTAAAAATGAAAGTCAAGGGAAAGAAGGGTCACTAATAGAAATTAATTAATGATGTTAGAGGGAGGGACCATATCCGTTATAAAAATGAAACTATAAAAACATCTTTTATTAAAAAAAAATTCATGGACCTTATTTGTTTATTGATGTAAACCATAGGAACCAATTTGCATTTTTAACTATATAAAATATATTTTTTAACAAAAGAAATTTAATTAACAAATTGTGAATCACAAATTTTTAGAATTTGGGATTTTGTAACTCAATATTTTGTCGGCTTATTAAATTTTTAAATATAAAAATTATTATTTAATATGTAGTTTAATTCAAGAAATTTAATTTGTGATTAAATATATAAAATAGTTTTAAGAAAAATGTGTTGTTTGTTTACCTTTTAATAGTTCTATTAAGAGACAACATTTGAACCGCTAAGAGGTGAATCTTGTTTGGTAAAAAAAAGTCTACTTCTTAATGATTCTAAAATCCTCTTAATGATTTTGTATGTTGTGCATCCCTTAACCATTCAGCGCCTTAATTCTACTATTAACAATTAATAAACAATTATATTTCATTTTGCATTATATCGTAAGAGTCTCTTAATCATTCTGACTGCTTAATCATTATGTACTAAATCATTTAGCAACTGCCAAATAACCCATAGACCATAGTGAAACACAAGAAATTTAGAGTGAATTACATTTTTGGTCCTTGTAGTGTATGTAAAAATTGATTAATCTCTCTTAATGGTTGTTAATTGAAGTTGTTAAGTTTAAGGATTTCGAGTGTTATGAAATTGAAAAGTTAAGAACCATCAGTTTAGATAGTTTGTTTTAAGGACCAAATCTAAATTTGAACAAACCACAAGGACTATAAATGTAATTCACTCTAATATTTAATTTATTAATTTATTATTAATTATTAAATCAGATAAAGGATAGGAAAGGAAAGGAAAGAAAAGCAAAGCCTAACAGACCTTCCCTTTATTGTTCAACGGTAACACACGGATCGTAAATCATCACCACCACCGTATCGTTGGCAAATCCGGCGCCGGCGTCTAATCTTGAGACCGGAATAGAAGTTCAAGGGATGCGATCCTCCGTGGCGAGGTGGCGGTGGGGATTGTCATCCAATGTGGCGGCGGAATCAGGAGCGAGAGCTTCTCGCCGTTAAATGGCCGGCTTGCAATTGCAAATGACTTGGCAGCACAATTTGTTGATAAGGAAACGCAAGAATGGTCCTCCTGTAGGGTTCAAGAATCTCCATAACACCTGCTACCTCAACTCCGTCCTCCAGTGTTTAACCTACACTCCTCCCCTCGCCAATTTCTGCCTCCAACTCAAACACACAGCCTTTTGTATGTATTTCTCTTTTACTCAGATGCGTATTCTTTCTACACATAGGGACACTAGATTTAACCTATTTTCTTCACCATGTACACATCAATTCGCGTGATTCGGGTGTGTATATAATTATATGTGTGTGTGTAGGAAGTGAAATTTAAATTGTTGGTACCGGATTGTAGGTGAATCGGCTGGGCAGCAGGAAAAGAACAGTGGTTGTGCTTTTTGTTTACTAGAGAAGAGAATTGTGCGATCACTGAGTATTGACCTAACCCTAGATACGCCTGGCAAGATCATTGGTGGATTGAAAATTTTTGCTGAGCATTTTCGCTTTGGAAGGCAAGAGGACGCACATGAGTTCCTGCGATACGTCATTGATGCGTGTCATACCAAGTGTCTAGGTCTGAAGAAGTTGCAGCAGCAGGGGCAGAGGCTTCTCACCAATGGAAGAGGTAACAGTTATGGTGGCAGTACGGTAGTTAAGGAAATATTTGGGGGTGCTTTGCAGAGTCAGGTGGAGTGTCTTGCTTGTGGAAATGAATCCAATAAGATTGATGAGATTATGGATATAAGTATTGATGTGTTCAACAGTAGTTCTCTTAAAGATGCTTTGCAGAAATTTTTTCAACCAGAGATTCTGGACGGAAATAACAAGTACAAGTGTGATAAGTAAGCATACATTCTTCGTCACTCTACGTGTTTGTATGTGTGTTGGTTTATTCATACAGATGGCTTGAAATTGAAACTTGTGCTTTTGTAGTTGTAGAAAGTTGGTAGTTGCAAGGAAGCAAATGTCAATGCTTCAAGCACCTAATATTCTTGTAATTCAACTAAAGGTGGGTCAATTATCAGATATTGCTTCTTTTGTGTTTTTATCATATACAAGTGGTGGCTAATTATGCTTTTATTTTGGTTCGGTAGAGGTTTGAGGGAATATTTGGTGGAAAGATAGACAAACCCATTGCTCTTGAGGAAGTGTTGATGCTTTCAAGCTTCATGTGCAAATCAAGCCAGGTACAAAGTACAAGTCTTGTCTTTAAGTTTATGTCATACACGTTTGTTAGACTTTTAGCCCCAATGGCTGCATGTTGTCACATTGAATATGCTTTCACTGATGGACAAATCCATCATGATTAAATAAATTAGAGAAGTTGCACAGGGGACACATGTGTTGCTATTGTTTTTCTATAGGAAATATAAGAGAAGGATCTCCTTCTACAGCAATTTGGTGTTCACCAGGTTCACCTGGCAGGTTGGGTAGTTGAATATTCACATAAAATAAGGAGAACCTCTAAAAAGGTATATTGGCATGTTGAGTTGGTATTTAAGATCATCACTTCCTAACAGTTGGGAATCACTACACTTGGAGATATTATTATGCAAGTTCAGTTGATACTTTTTGCTTCCTTCACATTGTCCAAGGTATGACTTGAGCATGCTTTGCAGTCAAGATGCATGTATATCTGAGGTTCATATGAATTCTGCTATTAGAAGTTGAATACAACTTAAGTGTTACCTTTGTTCTCAAAAGCTTTGAGAATTCTTCAGTGGTTTAACTATATAATTTCTAGATACTCAGAAATATACAATTCTTCTCAAAAAAAGAGAAATCTACTGGAGAGGAATTTGTGGTTTTTATTGCAAGAAAAAGGGATTAATGCATGTGAAGAGTTGGAAGGAACTTAAGGAGAATGATGCATATTTTGATATTATGCATTTCTTTTATAAATTCTAATGCACTCCAGGCATCGTGATTGGAGAAGGTAGTAGTGAAATTAGATGCAGATAGATTGTGATGGTCCATGGGACTGTAGGAGAAGACGGATCTTCAAATATTTTGGTGGCGGATATGCAAAAAAGCCATCACTGTTAAAATGACCATTTTGGATAAATGTGAATTATTACCAGAGTGGTACAGTTTTGAAAGCTCCTAAACCATGATGGACTTTTTACGGTTCATAGGCCTAAATCAAATACCTTGTTAAAGTTCATTGGGTGAAATAGACATAACCCCTTTGCCCTTTGCCCAATCACTTGGGGGCTTGAAACCTACCAATGTTCATTGCTATCTAATATGTACATAAGTGCATTCATGCACACAGTCTGACATCTGAAACCTCTTACAATTCTAAGATTTATCTGGTTCTTACAAGGGTAAAAAAGTCTCAACAACTGTGTTAAGACTTTATGTCTTATGAACATATCTTATGAAATTTATGTACATACACAATATATGAACATATCTTATCAAATTTATGTCTTTGTGCTGTAAATTGTTAAACATTCTTAAAGAATGAGTATGAATTGGCATAGAGTTCATCATTAAATTTGCTAAGATGCATGCCACAGAATTGGTGGGGTTTCTGTTCATGTTCTTTTTGTGTTTTCCTAGGTTGACATCTATGTGCACTTTATCTTTGATTTAGAACTTTCTTCTAGCTTTCACCCCTTGTGCAGCTAGGCTGTGTATTTTCAACATATTTAAAAAAAACCTGATTGTATTTGAATAGTTTGTTACAATTAGTAAATATATTTTTTGTGTATGTAAAAAGTTAGCGAAATGTAGTGAGTGGTATCTTTTAGTTCTCTATATTGAAACAAGACTGGTAGTCTAGGCTCATGCTCATGTGTGTGGTAGCTAACCATGTTAACCCTGAGCAAGATATTATTTATGTCCTTCTATCTGTCTTTTTTCAATGTTCTTCTTTCAACAATTTTCTCTTTCTTAAACAAATTTCTAATGTGATTATTATGTATTATGCAGGATCCCCATCCAGAGTATAAATTATTTGCTACCATTGTTCATTCTGGCCTTTCCCCCGATTCTGGACACTATTATGCTTACATCAAGGTTTTTATATTTCCTGCTATGATTTGTCATATTCAGCATTGTTTCCAATGCTATAAGTGAGATAAAGTGGAGGCATTACTTGTTTACTTATGTTGATTCCTAATGTGTGTACAGGATGCAATTGGCCGTTGGTATTGCTGCAACGATTCTCATGTATCACTTTCAACCCTTCAGGAAGTTCTCTCTGAAAAAGTCTATATTCTTTTCTTTTCTCGTACTAAGCAGAAGCCAGTAATACCTAACAAAACTTTGGCTACCAATGGGAAAAGGGCATATGATTGCAATGGGGGTGACATGCCCAAAATTCAGAAGTCTGGTCATATTGTAAAATCTACAAACTTGCAACAATCTGTAAAGGTTGACTCTGTGGCGCCACCCAGAGTTGACAAATTGCTTTCTAGTCCGAAAAGGAAATTAGGTCCCTCTGGAAATTCATGTACCAGAAAGTTCTATGCAACTCTGAATATGAAAATTGTTGACAATAAAGAAAACAATGTAAATAATGGAGACGTAAAATCTTCGAACTTTAAGAAGACGGGTGAGAAAAAGATGCCATTGTTAGAGGATAAGAATGGTTTTAGTCAAAATAGACCTGTCAGTGCTGTTAGCAGAGAGGAAAGTCGATCATCTCTTGTAGTAAAGGGAAATGGTGAGACCCTGAAAAGCAATACCGACTTTGTTGCAAATGGGTGCAAGAGCAACGGTGCAAGAAAGGAATTGGCAACTGGAAAAATGCCTGGCTATCAGGAGATGCATAATGGTAGTGCTAACAGCCACCCTGATTATCAGGAAAGTCAATCATCTCTTGTAGTAGAGACCCAGAAGAGAAGTACTGACTTTGTTGCAAATGGGTGTAAGAGCAATGGTGCAAGAAATGAAATAGCAACTGGAAAAGGGTCCGACTATCAGGAGATGCATAATGGTAGTGCTATCAGTCACCCTGATAAGGCAAGCTACAAGAGGAAACTCCATGAAGAGCAGCAGTCTTGCAGTCTGTTTGCTGAGGATTTCCAGTCACAAGCAAAAGATGGAAAACTAAAAAAATTGTATGTTACTTCTAACCCCTTATGCTTCATTTATTCTGATTCTGGGATGCAAATTATAGTTAGTGATTTTTCTGGGAAAGAAGTTCGGTACCTCCAATATGGCTAGAGTTGGTATTTAATCAATTAGGCTTAGGAAAAAACAATAAGGTCCCTGGGCATCAGTTAACTATTTGATCCTTGAAGTCTAAAGATACAATCATGTTAGTTAGTACTCCCTCTATCCCCTGAAAATTGCATATTTCCATATCAGGATGATTGGGATATTTTCAAGCCGAATTACTTACTTGCTCATTTTGATTATTACAAAATATTGGTGCCATCCAAATTCAGAGAAATGTTGCATTAATGACTTGCACATCATGCATGAAAGATTGTATATTTCTTTGGGTAAGTTAAAGAAAAGAAATCGAAAGCAACTCACAAAACACAAACTTATGCTACAAATTTTGGGTTTATGACAAATTCATGAAGCTACCATTTCTATCTAAATCAAACATGGCATTAAGAAGAATTACAAGTGGACGATCATCAAACTCACATCAAGGGGATGCCATGCTGGTTGGTCATTGCTTGGACATCGAAGCTACTCAATATCAACCTATTGATATTGGAACCCCCAATGGATTATTCCAATATAAGATTTCTGGTCCAATCATATAGCAAGAAGTCCTATAATGTAGACAATTTTCTTTCAATCATATTTCCTAAGAGTATTACACCCTTAGTTTGTGAAATATCAATTGCTTGTTGGATTCTGTGAATTTTGTGAAAGTAGGATACTCCAAATTCAGGAGTCAAGTTTTTCTTATAGAACATTCTTGGTGGAAAAGATGTGAATGAAAGATCCCACTGAATTGAATTGGGTCCAAGAACCTAAGAAATAGTGAGAATTCTTGATCCCTCTCAATTCTCAAATATAGGACTTAAATTCATGTGTTGTCATTATATTTCTTATTAGAACTAAAAGGATTTCATTTCAATATCTCATTGTGTTAATTAGACTTCGTTTGATCTGGAATTTGGTTATTCGTAACCCGCTAACGCTAAGCATCCATGGCTGAATGGTTGAAGCACCCAACTCATAATTGGCAAATTCGTAAGTTCAATTCCTACTGGATGCACACCAATGGGACCCTCCAAATAAGTATATTGGAGTTAGCTCTAGATCAATGAAATGCCATCATCCATGCATAGCAATTTGATGTGGTATATTCATATCATACTATATGTAAGAATCAGTAGTTTTAGAGGGCAATGTGTGTTGATGTATAGTTTTACCAGTAAACTGCTCTGCTGAGAGCACAGGTTGTTTCTGTGTTCTGTGGGCTGTGCGGGTTAGTGGTTCTGGATATGGAGTACAGTATATTCTAGAAAACCATGGTTCGTTTGCAACAAAATTTGCTCAACTATGTAAGTGTATGTGTGTGTAACTTATAAGAAATGTTGATCACAGTTGTCCTTTGGTAGCTTTTACTAAAAAGACCTGTCAAAGTCAATTCAGGGGATCTTTGAAATCTTAAAAAGCTGCAGCGATGGCTGTCGAGTAGCCAACTTTGGCTATTGTTACACACACATATAAAAAGAGGAACTGTGTGTATGCTTGATGACTTTAAATCATAATGATCATACAGCACCATATGTAATTCTGTCTATGTTTCTGTATATATCTATGTGCATCATTTAGAATATGGAATATGTGAAAATAAAGGAGAATGCGTGTAGGCACCAGCCACCAAAAGGAGACGAGGCTGTTATCCACATCAATTGAGGAAGATTGAGCGGTGATACTAGTTCCATCTCTATCTCCCTCTCTCTCACACCCACAAAAAATAAACTCTGGAGAATTGGAAGCTTCGACTATAATGTTCCTTTTGTCTCTTTTTGGAGGTGGTAAACCCTAGCCACACAAATCTGTGGAGAGACCACGGTGCACCTGTAGTGCAACCATATCCTGTCCTGAGTTGCACCTTTTTTGGCTCATCTCTGCAAGATGTCTGTCTTTCTAGGTTGTGGGTGTATGAGCACTATTCGTTTGTTTCCAGGAAGGAACATGTCCTCAATACCTTGTAAAGATTTGTTCTTGAAAAGTGAGATTGTATTATTGAGCCAAACACATGCATAGATCACGGAACAGGCTAAAGGTGTAAAAGCCCAAAAGATAGTATTGCACACATATATATCGTCTCCAACAGAAAAGATAGGCAATAGGAGGATAAGAGGAAGTGATCAAGCATAAATTTGTTTATGAACGTAAATTATTTTGTGACGAAACACGCATGACAAATTTAATTGCCTTGAATTTTATTAAGCAGATGCTAAAATGAAGTATGATGTGAATATGTTGCTTTGGAACTAGCTTCTAATGTGTAGGGCCTGCTTCTTAAAGTTCATGTTTAATTATTGCATGTGCATCCTTTGTTGCTAATCTTGCCTAGTAGTTGCTGAAAACCTATATTTTCAGTGTAGACCTTGCTACCAAATTTACAGTTATTTGTGTTCAGGTCTATGTCTATATGAACTTTTAATATGTAACTCGTAATGATTATTGGATATCGGGATATTTATATTTGTTGGCATGTCTCAGTCTTCAGAGAGAAGCTTCGTCCTTTCTGCGAACTTGTGGTTGGTCAGATGAGGTTCATAGTTTCATGCTTGCAAAGAAGAAGTGTGCTCGAGTTGCAAGCAGTGGTGCTTCACCTGGTAATGAACTTAAGTAAGTTCTTCTCGTGAATTGTTTGTCAAGTTTTATTTCAGGCCTAATGCTATGGTTTCTATTGTGTTATGACACATTTTATAGCACTTAATTACCTGAATAACTTTTAGGTAAATGGAATAAAAGACAACCAAAGCAGATATTCACTTTTAACTGGTTACATATGAATAAGGAAATGTCCCCAATTGAAAATTGAGATTAATAAACTTACTGTATTATAAAGCAAAACTGAGAAAAAAAATATAGCTTATTTCCACTGCTAGGAGAAATAAATATGTTTATCAGCTTCCTGAAAACAGAAAACTTTTGGATTTGGTGTGATAGCTTCTAACTAGTTGTTGATGCTGTAGTTGTAGCGTGTTCCTTTCGAACTGAAAAAGTATATGTGATATTTACTTCTTGGTTCTTACAATTGTTATGCCAAGAATGCTTCCTTTTTGTTTCTTCAAACTAGAATTAACTTGTATTTGGGATTTTGATAAGCTATGACAATTAGTATGGAATTTGGAACAATGAATTCGATTGAATTACTTCTTGTCTTACAAAATTCCCAGCTTTTGAGAGGCTGAGATCTCCCCTCTACATCTTACAGAAGTTGAAAAATTCAGTGTACCTTCTCCTTTTCTCTCACTTATTTATACTAGTAGACAAACTACATGACCCTCCCCAACCTACTTCCAACCGCCCAACTGTATTCCCCAAACTACCCCATGTGTCTTATTACCACATTACCCCTATTGTTGACCTCTTATCTTAGGATAAGTCTTCACGGCTTTGGGTCTATCAAATACCCTTCCGCAAAAGTTTCACATTGTCCTCAAAGTAAAAACCCCGAAAATTGGTTGTTCAATAACAATAACCCATAATCTTCCCAGTAGTCGGTCCAAGACCAAATACCTATATCGGAATTTCAATAGAGATAGCATTTACGAGGGGTTGAAGTCCACATTGGGAATCAAAGATACCCCAAAAGGATAGTTTCAAGTTTCTGGGCTCCATGTTTCAGATGGAAGGGGAGCTTGAGGATGACGTAACGGGTCGCATAAAAACAGGGTGGTTAATGTCATTGGCGGCCACAGGATTATTTATGACCTTTTTTTACTGTTCACGGTTTACTAGCCTTGGTTCTTTTTTTCAAACACTTTCCGTTTTCTTTTCAAACTTTTTTTTAACAAACTATATGCACTCCGGTTTTTCATCAAAATCTTTTAGCTTAAGCTTCTTTTTTTGGGGGGGGGGGGTCTTCACAAAAACAACCGCTCTACTATTTGGAGTAGGGGACATGTTTGCATACATCCCATCCAAACCCTACTTCCAACTCCAAGCTGAGACATACCTATTGTGTTTGGTTACAATAAAAGCATACTTGTATACGCGAAATGGAAAATTTGTTTACACATTAAAAATTCATACTTGTATGTGTGATAATGACTTTCATGTGTGATTCTAAGTGACTGCCATTGAAAAATTTGTATTTACTTTTTGTGTTTGATCTGCTGCTGCTGCTATTATTGGCAGGAGGATGCTGATAGCTGATGCCAAGTCGACCTTCATTTCCCGAATTCCCGAGTCTATAAAATCAGAGCTTATCAAACATCTGAAAGTATTTAGCCAAGATACCACACATGTTGATCCATGAAGCCAAGGTGCCCATTTTGTTTCACCTATACCATCCATTGCAGTAGTCTCACTCACACTTATCTATCTTTTATACCTTCATCCTTTTTTTGGCCAAAACTTTCAGAAGCATCTCATATCACTTTTTCACAAACCAAGGGTTTTCACCGAAGCAGTCCCTCTGCCCCTTGGGGCATAGAAAAATGTCTTCTTACATCCCACTCTCGGACCCTACTTCCAAATGGGATATACCATGTTGGTTTGGTTTGGTTTTGTTTACACTTATCTTTTACCGAGGCAGAGACGGGTCCAGAAGTTTTTTCAAGCGGGGGAGAAAATAATTAGCATAATATAAAATAAAATAAAGATAATTATAAAAAGTATGGTTTAAAATGACAAACAAGTGGTTTTTTGCAATATACAAGGGAGTTTTTCCTTATTCTGTATGTTGCTGCTACCAAAAACCTAAAAGTGAGCCAAAGAGACTCGAACTTACAGCCTATAATGTCACATGCAATCGCACTACCAGTAGGCTGCAACCACTTTTTGTTGACTTTAAGGATCATACATTATCATAAAGCAGATTCACCATGCCATCACAATGGAGCAGGTGCTTGTGCACCCTCTCCGGTCTTCTTAAATCCGCCCCTGATCTTTTACCCTCCCTCCTATAGTAACCGTGTGTGCTCTCTATGTCCGTTTTACAGGCTCCATAATTTTCGCTAATGGGAGGTGTGGCATTTACAAGATGAGTTTGTAATGTAAGTTTAGGAGACAAATACCATATGGGAACACGAAGATTATAATTGTCATCTTTTTGGCTGACGCACGATCTGGGTGAAGATCAGAAGACGGATTTTGAAATTTGCAGAGCAAGTTCTTCTGTGAGACAGGTTCGGGCCTAATCGGAACAGACCTCAGATATATTCTTTCTGTACAATATATACACCCTTTTTGACACTAGTATAATTCACAAATTTTCTACCAAAATCAAACGGTTTCAATATATGGCTATATAAAGTACTACAAGTTATTAATCTACTTTTCATTGCTTTTTTGGAGTATATAATGTTTATATGCTGTAAATACTTGCATACGATTCACATATTTGGTGAGGTTTGAACCCTTGATCTAGAAGGTCAGACTACACTGGTAACTCGGGTACTGCTGATCAATGACCAAAGGGTTATTACTTTTCATGGTTGTGGAGTGTTCTTCAATATTACTTTTTCGTGGGCATGGAATACAAATGTAGATGATACTTGTCTAATGCTGTGTTCTCGAAACCTCTTTTACGAGAGAAAGGGAGAGAAACGGGAGGAAAGGTAAAAACAACTTGTGTTCTCGAAACTTTTTTTGGGAGAGAAAATGAAAGGAAACGGAAAGAAGATAGTACAAACATTGTCTTTTAGAAGGGGTATTTTCGTCTTTTTCATATATTGATACAACATCCTTTAGTCATCTTATAGTTACTTTGTTTAAACTTTCTCAATTATCTAATTTACTTTATGGTTTCACTTATGAACTTTGATAGAATAATTTGGAACAGTCAATGTTCATACATGAAATAACATTATGAACTTTAAACAAAAATTATTGTTTCACTTATGAATTTTCTGTTTCACCTGTGAACTTGGGTAAAAAAAATGGGAACAATCAAAGTTCATAGATGAAACAACACTATGAACTTTAACAAACACCATATAAAACATGATTATCTTCTCAAAATAAAAACAAACACCACATTAAACAGAGCTCAATGGAGCAATTCAAGAGGGAGCGAAAATAAAGTGGTAATTTAGGGTGCTCACAAACCCGATCAACTCAATCCAACATGAAATAACCCAATCCGAAGCAATCCGATGTCTAATCGAGTTGTAAAATTGTCAAACCGTTGGTATCGTGTTGATATTGAGTTACTATTATTTGAACTCAACCCAACCCGATGAACTCGATATCCTTTTACTTCTTGGATTTAATATGATTGTTGAAATTCTATTAATATATACATTAGACAATTACACTATCATGTATGATTTTCATATACACATATTTTCAATCTATTCACATATCTATATAACTTATTCATATATATGTTCAGTAACTGTGAACATATATATATATATATATATATGGGAGCGATCAAATGCAAATCACTCAATTTGTACAAACCGTGCAAACCGCATTCAACAAATCATAATTTTTCATTTTGTTCATTTTTTTGTAATTATGAGAGGTTGATTAATCATTTTTATTGTGGAGGGTGTTAATCATAGATATTATCATCTTCAT